AGATGAAGCATTCTACTCATTACATTTTTATGGAGGTTTTGTTAAGTTTGGAATATGAAACTTTGGCAAACTTTCACCCTATTTCCACCTGCAGTCTCTGCTTCTCACATACTAGAACATTCCTTCCTTCCAGTGTCTGGAATGCTGCTTGAATTCTGCAGGGTGGAGCCAAGAGCAGCTGTGTGTGATGAACTGATTACTCTCATTTCTTAGTGCACTGTGTATTAGTCATAGGCCTAATACACTCCACCGGCATGCAAGTGTTTACTAACCATAATTTATAGTCACCGTTTTTGCTTGAATGGGGACCTGGGGAAGATTCTCGTTTTAAAGTCGGTCACAGAAGAGTAGACCTTATCTTAAAACGGTGTGTTATGCTTTATTCAAACAGAATCTCAGCTTAGGGTCGTTCTTCGTGGAGCTGTGCATGTTACGCCAGTCCAGAAATAAAACTTTGCTGCCCTGTGATGGACTGGAGACCTGTCCAGGCTGAACCCTTCGTCTTACCCAGTGACACCAGCCCCAAGAAGCAACTCTGCAAGGATCAGCAGCTACAGACAAAGATGAATGGACAGTTGGACTGTGGTGATTGTTGAGATGAAAAATTAACAAAAAACAGTGGTCTTAAAATGCACTTAAACTCACCTTAGCTTATCTTTAACCATCAGCCTGGAATCTGTCTGCTTGGAACTAGTAGTGGGTTAGGCTGATTTGTATGGCTGCAACAAAAAAATCAGCCCTGATTTCCTTAAGTTTGGGGGATCGGTGATCAGTCGATACTTACATAAGAAAGCAATGTTAACCACCAATCTGATTTACCTCAGAAAAGGCGGTAAATAAGGATATGCACCCTAAAAACCTGTTAGTTAGAACGTCTCCCTGTGTTTTGTTTTGGGGTAGTCAGTTTAGTTCAGAAAGATTTTAATTTTGCATTCCCTGAGTCAAGCTCTTAAGAAAGAGTGGAGAGAACCAGAATCCACGTTAAAGTCAGTGATAGGTTCCCCCTTTACGCAAACCACCTTGTTGACTGCACTGGTGGACAGAGAGTCATATTGCATCAATGAAAAAATTATACATTTTAGGCACTATGAAAACAGAAATCTATACAATAATATTTGGTGTTGAAGTCCAGAACCAAAAGGGACTCATGTGTAATTCTTTTCATTCTCTCTTTCAAAATTATTCAGTGTCAATTTGAATATTTAATTTTATAGAAAGATTGCACAGCTGATTAAAAATAAATAAATAAATACAACTAAAAACCTTTCAGTGTTTTTCCTACGGCTGCCACTAGATGTCATCCACAAAGAGCTGCTGGCAGGTTAGACTTCTGTGTTTCTGTAGCAAGGATCCACCAGGATCTCCTATTGCTGAGGTACACCCTTTAAAAGAAACATCAAGGTTTCATGATGCACTCAATAATCAGTTAACATAGATTATTAACTTTATAGATTATTAACTGCATTTTAAAGGCTTTGGATCAGAGCTTTGTTGTGTGTGTGTTTCCCAGAGTGTTTTCTTTTGTGTGGAGTTTATTGATAAATGACTTCATGTATGAATTGTGCTAATCAAACAAACTTAACATAGAGATTCTTCCAGGATTTATGTCAATGAGGGTGTGCCACTCGGGGCTTTTTTTAACCACTCGGGTTTAAGTGGAAAGGTTTTGAGAGTTCACCCACCATGATGTCAAGTCTGTGGACTGAAATGTGCTCACCACATCAAGGCAGAACAGAGAGAGTGAGAAGAGTACATGCAACATAATTAATGCTAGTTAAGTTGCTGGTTCAGTTTTAAATGTTTAAGTTGGCAGTCCTATAAGCAGGTAAAGCAAGCCATGTTTGCTCTGCACCTGCTTTGTTAGAATGTAGGTTATGTTGACATATGTTTGGTTTGGTTTCATGCCAAGTTGAACATGATTACATTTTCATTCCCGAGACTTGTCTGCACTGTATCTGTTACAAATGCTGTTCATTGTTGAAGGGAGCCACTACATGAAGTGAGATTGACAAAAAAAAAAAATAAAAAATCATAAAGGCTTTGAGGTGGAGGTCCCATTCTACTGTCCTTTATTATTACTCTCTTTTCCCCGCCTCTGATCTGCCAAACTGCTTGCGCCTTACATCTAAGATTTACTGGAAGACCCCCACAAGATTCATTTGTTGTCTGAAGCTCGGTTTTTGATCTTTTTTCAAGCCTGTGCATTACTATGTCTGCTAGATGGATTGAATTGAACTTGTTCCAGGTGGTAATCTTCCTTTTACTGACATTGCCTTGTGGCACAAAGACTGTACATCAAACGCCTTATGTTTGTTCTGTTAATAAATAACTATATTGCTTGTGGTGCTTATGTTTCTAATTATTTCTCAATCACTAATTAATGTTGCTTTGAATTTTATGACTGAAATGGTCAAAGTCACTCACTGCAGCCACTGTTTGCCCAAACAATGATAATGTGGAGTTTAAATTGGATATTATGTGTGTAAACAGATAAAATCACTTCTATTAATCCAGTACTGACAATATACACTTCCATCCAAGTGTTGATAAAGAAAAAAAAAATGTTGGTCAACAAAAAAAGAAAGAGTTTGTTGCTATGCACGATTATAAAACTGGACATAAACAACATGCATAATGACTGAAAGGGTCCATTTTAGAGCTGCTAAACATTACCGAAACTAATTCAGAGTTAGTTATATGTTTATTTAGTTCTGCTTTTATTAACATGTTATTGCTCTTATCAATTAATGGCTTAACAAGACAAAGGGCATAAAGAAAGGGAAAGGGCAGTAAATGGCCTGGGGTTGGATATTTGACTTGGGACTCCTTTGTCAAGGACTGGCCCCCATTTATAGTGTGACTATTCAATCACTGAGCCATTTAACTTCTGTGTACTCTGTGTTTAACAGTTTAAAGTCGTTTTCTATTTTCTGCTCTGATTGTCTTGTGCTTGCTATTACTTTATATTTCACAACGGATGCTTTATTTTTTTTTTCCCGTGTTTACTATTTAAGGTTTATTTTTTGTGTGTCTGGTGTTTTTCTCATTAAGTGACTTTGCCGCTTTTATTCTTTTCATTTTGTCATGTGTCCGTTCCCCACAGTCCCTTTAAGAAAAACTGCACAAAAATCGACTGATTAATATCACGTTGCTTTTTTTTTCAACAGTATTTCTACAAGGTTTATTTCTTTCTAGTTATTTATATTATCTTAATAATTTATCACCATTCTAGACCTTTTGTTTTTGGTTTACCTCCTTTTTGCATGTTCTGTCCCCATTCATTTTTTAAAGTCTTTTCAAGACTTAAAACCAGATGTAAAAATACTAATAAAAGCACTTGTACATTTAAAAAAATATACAATATCAATCTATTGAAAAAAGAAAAGAAAAGAAAACAAAAAATAAGAATAACTTAAATGAGGCTAAAGAACAGAACTGCAAAAATGAAAACAAATTCAATTTTGATCAAAAATAGCCAGTGGGTTTTATTACTTAGCTGTTATAGTCAGAGGGTCAACATTCAGTCTTTAATTTAGCAGTTTTCTTCAGAAAACATGAGATCAGGCTTCATTATCAAGGTGGTATAATTGCTGTATGGGTAGGCTGGTCATTTTAAGAAATTAATATGATTAATTGCAACCTGTTACTTGTTTAAACCTCAAACAACCAAGCATAATGGATTCCCTTTTTTACTTCTGTGGATGCTTTCTCAGTGCTTTTTGCGTTTTGGTGGCTGTTCAAATCAAGTACGACTGCCCCCTGCTGAGAAAACTAAATATATAATAATACATGTCCCCATATTAATTTAAATAGAGACCCATGACCAGCCTCATTTATTTACTAAATCAATGCGCATGATTGATGCCTCTCCGCATCCGGTTGATATGGCAATTTGGATGAATGCGGGAGCCCCTCACCGACTGATGTGTTTGCCTGAGCTTTAGGGTGCTGTCCTTCCCATGTAATTACTGCGTGTTTACCTAAGCAGACCTGACCTATCTAGACAGACACATTTGACTCTTTTTTTTTTTTTTTCAAACTGGTTCTAAGCCTTAGAAATAAAGCATTTTTGATTAATTGGCCTATTCTAGTAGGGTACTTGGTGCTAAATATGTTTATAAAACATTAGATATAGATCTATAATCGCTGATAACACCATAAATCTCACAACTATCCCCCAGAGCGAAACACTGCAGGTCAGCATTATAATAGCAAGGAAGTCTTAATAAATGCTTGACAGTTTATGTGGGTGTGCCAGGATACAAATATTTCTGCTGGATCCCAAAACGGTTATCTGTTCCGACGACAGCCAACTTTTGACTCCTGCCCAGCGAAATGGCCCCTTTAATTACACTGACACAAACAGAGCGGGGGCAAAGTTCAGCTGAGCTCACCGTAAAAACGGACGAGGTGAACAGCCGGAGCTCGGAAAGCAGCCTGACGTATCACTAGAGGACACTGAGCCAGGAGGATGCGGAAGGCTGGAAACATTTGCGGAGATTAAATTATTACAGTCCTCACCTCCCCGTTATATCGCTCGGAACATTTGGCGCAACTCGTTTGCTTCACAATGAGTTTATGAGGAGTTACAAATGGTGAGTAAGACGCGTTTCTCTTGCCTATGTTTGTTTTGCTGTTTTAAAATATGTTTTGAAGTTGGTACTATTTAGCTCAGTCTGAATTTAGTGGTATTTTGCGACGTGAAACGATGTCGTTACACAAATTAAACATGTAAGATGATTTTTTTTTTTTTTAGTTGCTTTGGTTTGAACTTCATGTATGCTCTAATGTATGATCGATGGACCAACATTGATTAGCTGCAGTACACTCAGAAACACCCAGCTTGACCTCATGATTACCTGAGAGTTGTTTTTTGTTGTTGGCTGTTCTTTGGAGACTGTATTGCTTTCTGATGCAAATTCCTCATTGATCCACTATACCTTTACACAACAGATACTTGCAAGAAACCTCTGCACAGAATGACAAGATGTCTGTTAGGTAAAAGGTAAAGACCCCGTTTTCTTCTACAACCACATATCAAACCAGCTCTTTGCAAAAGGCACATAACTTTTTCCTCAGTCTGACATTAATCAAGACTAAACTGCGGCTGTTTTAGGTGAGTCAGGATTACCAAAAGCATTTCTTACATTCCCTAAGGATGAGATAAGTAGGATGATTTTATCACTTTGTACATCCCTAGTTGGGTAATTCGTAGCATTTGAGTTAAATAAATGCCCCTCTCATTATATTTTAAGGCAACACGTCACACACTGCTTATTTGTAAGGCATGATGAGCAAAATCAGAATAAATCAGGCGAGATATAAATGTCTTGTTGACTAATAAAATTCAATGTCAATGTCTGGCTGACTTTGTACATTTAGCGAACAAAGAGGGCAGATTAAAAACACCTTCCCAAATGTAAAACGCAAAGGTGTTGGTGCTTTGATGAGAAAAGTACTACAAGAAAATTAGTAACTGAAAGATGTATCAAAATGGTCTACAAACCTGAACCGTCCTGTCAGGAGGAATTGGCTAATATTCCACTGAAATGTTTACAGAATCTTAAGGAAGAATATCCAAAATATCTGAAACAAGACATAGAGTTTGAAGTGCAAAAGAAGCAAAAATGTAAGCAAAATCCTGGGTTTGAAGAAAGTTGTTTAAAACAAAAACAAAAAACAACAACGTCTGCATTCAAAATGTTGGCTTTTAGTCATTTTTGGTAAAACAAAACCTGACAATAAAACAGGTAATGTTTAGCCTGATTGAATGTTGAAAATGAAAGGTTATGTGCCTTTTAGGCACATAACCTTAGGATAATTGTATGCAAGGATAACAACTGTGTGCTTGCACATAAAAGACTGTCTGTAAAACTTCCTGCTTGCAGCTTAGGGAGATGGAGGACTGGATGGTATGTCTCAGCACTGAAGAATCTTTCATCAGTTCATGCTCTGAAGCCGCTCATTCCCACCTTCTGCTTTGTGGTAGTGATCGCATATGGCCAGGCCGACAAACTCCGGAACTTTGTCGCTGGCATCTTTATCCCACAGTACCATTACCCATTCCCTGTTGCTCTCTGCTTCACCCAGGTTAGTAAATGTAGCGTTGCTTTCAAATCAGTCATCCCTTCATGACCAGGAGAATGTGCCTGCGAGGAGTGGTGCACAAAATGCAGGATCATTTGCATACTGGTCTATTTCTGAAGAGTAATTTCTGTTCTGACATCACTATATTTGCATGTGTTGAACTAACATTTATTGGATTTCCATTTTCAAACATATCAGCAAGCAGTACATTAAATAATTAGTTCTACCTCTTAATTGATGGATTTGTTTTAGCCATGCTACCATCACAAATATTTTATTGGGATTTTATGTGATGAAACAAAGAAGAATATTAGATAGATTGGACCCGTGGGCATATTTTTTTAAGTTCTGACACTAAATTTCATTTGCATTTAGATCTGGACTTTGACTGGACCTTTCTAACACATAAATATGCATCCAGCAAAACTATTTAATTTTATTGCTATTTGTATGTTTTGGACTGTTGTCCTGCTGAATATCTCTTGCAGCATTTAACAAACTTTTTGTTGTGTCACATTCTTTCCATTTTTAAACAACATATTAAACTGTCATTATGTTTGCCTTCTGATGTTCTCAAAACACACTGCTTCGCACTGAGATTAAATTACAGCATAATTTATTTTTTGGTAGGCAACATATTAAGAGAACATTGGACTTTAATTGAAGAGTTTCAAGTAGTGCACTACTTTGTTGGTCTTTTGTATAAAATTTTAACAAAATCTTAAAGCTAGCACACTAAACACACTATTGCCTCTGTGTGCCGGTTTGAAGGACAGAGCAGAAGTAATGATAAGGCAAAAGTGCTTAGTGTTGATTAACGCATGCATGTGATGTTTAACCAATTTATCATGCAACGGACTGACATGACCTTGTTCAAAGGTTAGCCATGAAAGACCGCCTGGAACGACAGTCCAGAAAAGTCCACGGATAGGCCTCAAGAGTGTTTTTGCAGCAAGATTTGGAATTAAATAGGATTGCCAACAACAAAAGTAGACTTGCTGATATAACACTTTCCACCTGTCATTAAAAAATAAAAATATGTCAACCTGCAGTCGAGTAAGCCCTTTCAATGTGGAGTTAGTTCTTAGTAATTCAGCTCTTAGTATTTTCCATTTCCACCTTGCCAAGCCCACAGTATCTTTGTTTATGACTGGTTATCAAATATTACCATGGTGCCTCCAAGTAATTGTGAGGTCAAAATATTAGAAGTGTGTTAAAAAAAAGGGAGCTATGCTCAAACTCAAGCACGTCACATTCTATAACAAAACAAAACTTGAAGAAATAAAGATGATAAAAATCTGGGGCAATCTGCAGAAAGAGAAGCAAAAAAAGAAGGGTAATATTTGGTTAGTTAAAAAGGGAAGTTTTTGTAATTTACTATACAAGCTCAAACATTTACTGTGTAAACTTATAAACTTTGAGCTTTCCTGTGAATCGATAGACCAATATTAAATTGGATGACCAATGTTCCTTAGAATTATTACGCGACTGTGTTCCAAGGAATTTACTAACCTGTCAGCCTTAGGCGGTTAGATTACACTTCAAAGTCCATCTGGGTTCCGTCGTCTTGGCTCAGAAATAGCATGATCAATGTCACTCTTGTAGTTTTCTATTAGATTAAAGACCAGAAATTGGGCAGACCACCACAAAATGTTAATCTTGTTATTCTGAAACCAAGATACTGCTTTCTGTTTTAGTGTCCCTGTGGCTGTTTCCTTATTATTTGAACTGTTTTCCTTTCCAACATAAGGCAAAGCTATCTCTATAAGTATTTTGATAAGTTAGAAGAGATCTGTGAGCCATAATCTCTGGTATGTGCAGGATGGGTCAATAATCATAAGTAATGTTCCCATCCCATAATGTCTGAGTCACGAATGTCTCACAGTTTAAAATTAATTATTTGTTTACACTTAGTCAGCCTCATGCATGCCATGACTGGTGGCTCCCATGACTTCATTATACCTACTTTATAAATTATTTGCTTTATTAATGTTTCTATTTTTTAACCTGACAGGTATTGTTGGACTGCTGTGTTTTGAACTCAACTTTATATTAAAAAATGTCACAAAAATACGACTTAAGATCACGATTATGATTTAACACAAAAATAGCAATTCTATTTTCGTCTCATAACTATATTTTCATTGATGATAGTTCTCCTGGTTTGCTTTCTTTTGTTCCCGAAATAATTAACTATTAATTGAAATGGAAAGTTTGTGACTATGTGTGTTGACCTCACATTTTTGAAACATAAGGCCAAAAATAATTTAAAGAAAGGATTTGTCAAAGAGAATTTACTGGTTGTGAAGTTCGCTGTAATTTATTCGTGGACTGTAAGTCACCGGCTACTTCTATTTCTGCTTTTCTTTGAATTGGCTTTCCCCTTACAATGTTTGCATTTCCTCCCCAGGTTCTGGTTTCTCTTGTCTTCATAAATCTCCTCCATGCCTTGAGATTGGTACATCTCAGACCGTACTCCAGATCATTGGGAGAGAGGCTGCTGCTGCCCGCCATCTGTAACAGCGTTCACGCCGTGCTCATGACTTGGGCCAAAGCAAGCAGCCCATACGCAAATCTCTTCCTCTTCACTGTTCCTCTGCTGCCTCTGCTCACCCTCGGATTCAGTTTTGCGCTGAAGGTGGCGTCTCTGCCATCTCACCACTTGTCAGTGTTGATTTCTATCCTGAGTGGGATGTTTGTTGTCATCACAGGTAAATATTAACACACGAAAAAAAGCGATCACAACCTTTGAACCTTTTTTGTTATATTACAACCACCTCAATGTGTTTATTGGGTGTTTGCAATTTTGTCAAGAGCAATAAAGAGGTTCGTCAGACCAAACAAACAAACCAAAAATATTCTATTGACGTATTGTGAAAACATGTATATGTAAAAAATATGTAATTGTTAATTCCCTCTCTCCACTGGGATTTGTCACATGCAATCCCTATAAAACACATTGAATTTGGAGGATAATGAGAAAGTGAGAAGGTTCAGTTGGTACGAATATTTTTCGTAAGCAATTGTGCAAGATTTAGAGAGGTTATATAATTAGAGGCTATATAATTTTTTTATCAATGTGTTTTCCCCTGCACAGCATCCAATGGCATTCCTGTTGTTGAGTCTCTGGAGTATCTCTACGCGCCTCTCGCTTTGATTCTCCACAGCCTTTCCCTGATCAGCTTAGCAAAGGTGTCCGAGTCTGTGCGCCAGCAGCCCTATGACGTCCAACCCTCTGTTTTTGACATCTACTACGCTCAACTGGTCAACCAGAGTGGAGTGTTGGCCCTCCTGTGGCTTCTACACCCAGACAAACCCTGGCTGGTGTTGAAAATGAGCAGCTGGCGCAATCTGCTCTTCCACGGATACCTGCTCGCCATTGTCCTGCTTGGAATGGTACTCAACTTCCTGGTCTGCACTTCTGCTCTCTGCATCTCACCAGTCGCGGCTGCCTTGCTATACTCGGCAAGGTCCATGGTGCAGCCATTTTTTCATCTTCTGTAGTTCCTCTGTATGGTACAGAATTCTTGTCTGTCTATAAGCTATTACCAATATCAAAGATTGAAGTAGCACTTCTAAAAAATAAAAATAAAAAAAATCACACAAAAATGTGAAAAGATTTCAGTCAGGTCAAACGTTTAACATTAATCCGGTTAGAATTGGTTTGATGTATATTTGATAAGCGTTGAAAGTAAGAGACATGTTTCCTGTCATGACATTATTTGTTCTAATTTTGAAATTAGACAAACTTAACATGTTAAATGTCTCTTTTCTATTAGATGTAACTAGCTGCACTAATTTTTCTTTTAAATCCCTGCGTCATAATCAGATTAATTTTGCTGGTTGTCGCTAGTGAAAATGTGTTCACATATAACGTGTTCTTCAAGAACCTCAAGAAAATAGGAAGTAAAATATTTCCGATATTGTGGTAATAAGTAAAGTAACATAGGGTATAACAGCATATCTAAACCATTCGGAAACTGCTTGAAATTTCTCTTCTTCATTTAGTTATGCACGTTGTGCGCCTTTTCTACATCTATTGATGAATGCTACCTGTACAGATTATCGTAAATCTTTGGTAAAAAAGCAACACACTTTCTTTTTTGTGCAAAGCTGGATATGGATTTTTCTTAATTAGAACAAATTATTTTAATATTATCGTTTGTAATTGCAACTCTTAAGCAAATATTTTCTTTTTCTTTTTTTTTTGTGCACCTGTGACATATTTGAGCAGTATTTAAGGGATTAAAGTCCCACAAATCTAACCGGATTTCTGCTGAGGTTTTCTGTGAATGAATCTGAGAAGCACTTTTTTTTTTCAGAGGAAACAGGATAAAGATGATCAGGGTTGTTTTTTATTTCGTTTTTTTCACATTTTTACATGACACATAAAAACACATTTTCAATCAGTGTTAAAAAAATATTTAACTTCAGACCTTTCGCTGAATGAATCTCAAACCAGACTTTGGTTTATCTTGTCCCTGAATGATTCTGTGAGCTCGGATGAAAGGGCACGGCACCTGATAGGCAGTTATGATGCCTCTTATTAAAGTCTGACGTAATTTAATATATTGTGTTTTTACTAATGTAAATTTAAATATGTATTTTTATATAATTTTATCAATTTGCAAGCTTTTTTTTAAGTAGCTATTTCTGTTCTGTAAAAATGTGCTGTGCATGTTTAATAAAACTGAAAGAAGTGAATTGACTGTGAAAACGTTGTGTCAATGCTGAAAGCTGATGAGTTTAAATCAGCTGAAAAAGTTGAAGTTCCAATACGTGAATCCTATGGGGTTGCATGGTAGCTCAGTTGGTAGCATTGTTTCCATGCAGTGAGAATAGCAAAAATTGTAATATGAACTATTTTTAGATGCCTTTAAGCAGGCATTTGTTTAGAAATAGAACTGTCTATAAGTTAATAATTCTTAAATCCTGTTACCAAAAAGCCACAAATTTGTTCAGCATCATCAAAAAGTTTTTACATCCTTTAATTAATTTTTAATTTTTTTTTTTGAAAGTTAGCATACAAGTTTATTCTAAAGAAAATTTGAGGGTTTCTTTTCCTCAAGTGTTCTCTGACAACATGGATATTAAAATTGAGCTTCATGGGAGAAATGCTATATCTGCTATTTATAGAAGTGTGTGCAAAAAAAGAGAAAAGAGTGCGACTCACTTGGAAGTAGCCGTTCTTTTCTAGACTTTCCAAATGATAATGTGGAAAACACCTTTTTGGATTGCAGAAGTTTACCCGTGGATTGATATTAGTCAAGTGTATTTTATAGCAAATGTCAACTGAAAAGCAGTTCAAAGTACTTTACATCATAAAAACATTCCACAGTCACCAACTGTGACACAAGCAATAAACATTTAACATTTGGTTGAAGCACCTTTAGCAGCAGTCACAATCCAAGGTCCTCTTGGTTAAGGTCCAAAACATTTGGAATATCTATTTAAAGGTAGTTTCTTCCATTATCTGACACATCCCTATCAGGTCTTTGAGTAAAGAATTTGGTAACACCTACATCAACATGGAACTGGAACTGTTGTCATGAAATGTCATTCAGTAAATAATGACACTAACAAGGCAAAGTTGACTCTTTTACTTCATTGTTATTGTAAGTTTTCATAAAACTTTGAATGAAAATGCTAAATAGGGCATTTTTTTATTACAGCCAATGCAGATTTGCTTTAAAAGTGTCATTGCACCAAAAGACACTTCACAACAGTCGTAAACATTGTCCATGACGATGTAATGTCAGTCTTCCAATAAAGTGTTACCAAGATTTTTATGTTTTTTTAAAGATCTTCAATTGAACTTGAGACCCACGTTCTCTACTGTGTGGCCAGGTAAGGAGTAGTGCCTGTTTTGCTTCCCCATACGTGCTGCTTGGATTTCAGGTCAAAATGTTTGGTTTTGGATAGTCTGGGAATCTCTAAGGCACAGGTGTCAAACTCTAGTCCTGGACGGACTCTGCTGCACTACAACTGAATAAAATAATTAGGTCATTAGCATGCATCTGCACAAGAGGAAGTAATTAAGCAATTTCAGTCCAGTGTGTTGCATCTGTGGCACATCTAAAAACTGCAGGACAGTGGCCCTTGAGGACTGGAGTTTGACACCCTGCTTCAAGATGTACATTTACAAAATGAAAGTGGGCTTCCCAGTCCTTTATCATGATGAGTGGCAACTTATGGCCTTAATGGTAGAGTCCTTTAGTAGTGATTGACTTCCTTGACCATGCCTCTATCTCCATAAAGAGATAAAGATATCTCCTGACTTTACTGATAAGGCCCCTGTTTTGATATGCGCTTTCAACTGCGAGACTGGTGTTTGATTTCTGGTCATGTACGATCAACTTAATTTACCCCAGGTGGACTCCTGTGGCATTGCAGAAACATCACAAGGAAGCATTCACACAATGAAAGAAGGAGTAAATAAAAAACAACTTGAAAACATGTTTATTATGTATGACATGTAAAAAAATTACAAAACTTGCATCCAATCACAGTACTATACAAAGATATGTGTATTAACAGTTCATGATATAATAGGCTATTTCCCATTTTCAATGATTTAAAATAAACTTGAGTTTTGCATCTTCTAGACTCTATTGAAAATCCAACTTGTGTTAATCCTTAAATGAGAGGTTTTTCTGTCACAACACATGACGGGAAAATCATCACAATTTGCACAGTCTATCTATATTTTGTGGTGGAAAAATAGACATATATATCTGAGGTCATCAGTGAAATGTAAAAAAAAAAAAGAAACAAAGAAAATTATTTGACATAAAGACGCCAAACTTTGTCCTGTGTTCGTTCATCACCTCTATGTCAATAAGTTCCAGACTCATAATTTCAGTCCTCTTCCTTCTCTATGAAGGATCCGAGTTTGGTGGTAGTTGAATTCCCAGACTCTGCAGCAGGTTAGAAGCAGGTCCTGCCAGACCAGCCTGGCTGCTCAGAGACTCCAGGAGATTTGCGACCAAATTGACATCGATGTCTAAAGGCTGGATCTCCTCCTCAGCCTCGTCGACTCCTCCCTCCTCCGTCGAAAGCCCGTCTCCCGTTGGGGAACGAGACGGGTCATTGTTCACGCAGGTCTTGTAGTTCTGTAGAAATCACACATTCACAATGGCCTGGGTGCATTTTAAACCTGTTACACTTTGTATAAAAACTAGCATTTACCGTTTGACTGAAGCTTTTCCCAACATTAGTGCTCTGCAGCTCCTGATCCATTTGGTCCATGTAACTTTTGAGGCTGTCCAGAGTTTCGGCTGCGCTCATCCCTGCAGGACCAGATGAGCCTTCCTCTGTCTCGTTCACCACCTCTTCCTCTTCTTCCTCCTCCTCCTCATCATCATTGTAATCATCGTCCAGATCATCTGAGTCTAGCTCTTCTTCTTTGCCTCCTGAAATATTTAAAATAATTAAATACAACAGAGAACAGAGAATGAATAAACCATTGCTTTTATGTACCTAATAGCCTATCTAGTGCATTGGCCATCAAGCCTGGGTCAAAACTGAAAGGCTGCGTCTGAAGACTCCTGGAAAACATTTAAACAAAATGGAAACTTATCAAACCAGCGGTAGAAAAATATATTTAAAAAAAAAGAATGACTCCAAGTAACTTATCTCACCAGGGTGCTTCAGCCCCCTCATGAGACGACATGGCATTGAGGAAGTCCTTCATCCCTTGACTAACAGCTACAAGACTGTAACCTGCTTCTTGCTCTTTGGTATCCTCCTCATCCTCCTTCCCTGCAGCCTCCTCGACAGGCCGCTTCTGCTTGGCAGAGCTCAAGCCTTCACTGTCGACATCAGCGACCCTGCCGCTTCTCTCCTGCAGCAACTGCTCTAAATCCTGAGCTGTGATTTCCAACCAGCTGTCGTCTTTAGATTAGCAAAAAGGAAGAAAAAAAAAACAAAGATATCATTGGAAATTGCAAATGAGCAGTGGAAGGAAGATATAGGCAATAAGCACACATTTGTTTTGAGCTCTTTTACTGAGATGTAGCAGAACGTGCCAAAGTGACAAAATGTGAGAAATGAAGTGTCGTCCCACCCCCACGTGTTGCTGCTCAGTGGTTGTCAGTTGCGTGAAAGAGTGGTAGGTTTTTTGCTGAAATCTTCAAAATGTGTGACACATTTTTCTTTCCTATCAAGTCTTCAATCTGATTATTTTATAGATACTTTCATAGCAAGAAAAGGATCTATTCTGTTGCTGTTAAGCTGTTCACTCACTGTCCTCCGGGGGGAGCTGTGACTCCAGTTTCTTGAACTCTTCCAGGTTGAGCGGACTGCTGTGAAGCAGCTGGAGAATCTCCTCGCCCGCAGAAATGGAGCTGAAAAAACATTCACAGCAGGAATATTGAGGGGGAAAAAAGACAAGTGTGTTTCTTTTTGTCAGTTTAATTAACATGACATTTATCAGTCCCAACTTAAACCACCAATTCAAAATTAAATTTGTAGGACGTAATACAGCGATCTTCGTGGAAATCATGAATCCTGGTGTCTACATTCATCATTTGCCAGGCTGATCTCTCCACTTGAAAGCACATGTTTGAATCCTCACCTTGACTTTGAGGCAACCGACTGTTTGAAGAAGATCTGTGCAGATTTTAAGAGTTCTTTGTAAAACGCCGAACCTTCCAGCTGGCCCTGCTTTTGACAACATGGACATTAAAATCGAGCATCCTAGGAGAAATGCTACATCTGCTGTTTATAGAAAAGTATGGACAAAAAAAGAAAAGAGTGCGACTCACTCTGAAGTAGCCGTTCTTTTCTAGACTTTCCAAGAAGTTTTTCCACTGAGGATTGCAGCTCACAGGAGCGTTGGCGTCTGATGATGGCAGCCTGCTCTTAGAGCACAGGATCTCAAAGCCATGAGCCTGAGAATAAGGTGAAAACAGATTCATATTTCCACCTTCATCTGCACCTTCTTCCTCGTGATAAAAGAAACCCCCAAACCATGCCTCACCAGTTTCATCCCAAGTTCATGAGCCTTGTACTGTGGATGAGAGCGAGGCGGCAGGTCGAAGCCGCTCCTCCTATCTGGGGTGAACTGCTGCTGCTGCAGCTGGGCGTACAAGCAGCGGGTGAATGTTACCTGGAAATTCACGCAGGAGAAGGACGCCGTTTCATGAAAGCTGAACAACCAGCACAAACAAATCCTGCACATTTTGCATGCGTCTACCGAGGCGAGGACTCTCGTGTCAGGAGGAAATGTCCTGAAGCTACGACAGGCCTGCAAGTCCACTGGATCCCGCAGATAGAAGGCCGAGACCGCAGGAGCAACCAAGTCTGGACGCTGTGCCAGAACAGAGGCAACGCTGGCAGGGATGAAGCAGTGGGCCTGGTGGAGATTAGCTTTAATCTTCTCTGGGTACCTACATAAATGTGAAATGACATCTTTTTTTTTTTTTTTATTCTAACCATTTACAGAGACGTCCTCAGCAGGTTGTTCCATTTGCATTTTCCATGTAATTTACAATAGAAAAATCAAAGAAAATTGGGATTGTGTGAAAGCTCACCCTTGCAGCCTTTTGTTTAGAGTTGAACGGATTTTGGGGCTGGCCAGACAAGCTTCTGGGTGAGCAGAAAGCAGCGTTAGAGCTTGTGCCAAACTGGGGACCACATCAAGAGAAAAGCCAATTGAACTGGACTTGGATGGGCAGGGGAGGATGTGCAACTCTC